AGTCCGCCATCGACACCAGCGACCAATCGACGTCGCAGATGCGTGCCGATTGCATTAGCAACCTGATGACCACCGTCGAGGCCTATGTGGAAATGCATTCTATCAGCTCACATGCCTCGCGCTCCTGGATCGCACTGCAACGAGCAATCAGCTCCGTTTTCCTGCTGGCCGTTTCCGAGGAGTCCAAGACGAATCCGCGCTTCTGGAGCCTCCTCCAACAACTAAAGCACATCATTTCCGAGCGAGCCGACGCCGAGTCTCTGTTTGAGACAGGCGACGCACCGTCTGCTGCCGGGAATGGCCCAAATATCACCAGCCCGGCAGCTGTAAATTCCGCCTCCCCGGCTTTCCCTGGCGATACACAAACTCAATGGGCCAAGCCGTTAACCAAGACCCTGCGCGCACTGGAGAAGCTGGAATCTGCATTTAACAACCCTCATAGAATTCCTGGTACCGCCGGTTCCCCGGTTTACCTGAATACGGGCTCAAGTTCGGCGGGAGGAGTGGGTTCTTTCGCCCCGCCGGTCTCATCTGGAATGACTCCAGGCGTTGGATCCCTACCACCTCCCACACCGGAAAGTTCTACTAGCGGGGAGTGGACCATCCCGAATATCCTCGATCGTGCTGCCGAGTACATTCACCCGCCACTTTGGAGTTAAAAGTATATACTAAAAAAGGCCGGATTGAATTTTTGGACCGGCGTTGGGAAAACGTCTATATATAGGATTGGTGTCTAGGATGGGTTCGGAGTTTTGTTTGGTTTTATCTTATTTTTTTTTCGTCTGTCAATTTATTCTGTGATTTCCTCTGGTGAATCTGGACTCTACTTATTGACTGATCTACGATTCAGTTGTCCAATATGAAACATCCTAAAGCACAAGAACAATTACATCTTGAACTTTTCCATAAACACAGACAGACAGAGATATCTACACCCTCGCCGCACTCAACTCCCCCACACATTCCCCAAACCCAACCCCCGACTCCTCCCCCCCAACCACCGCACTCATGCTCACCACATCCCCATCCCGCAAATACACCCTCTCCGTCCCATCCCCCAACACCACCGCCTCCTTCCCCCCCCTCGTCATCTCCAGTAAACACCCATACTCCCCATCCCGCGCCCCACTCACCGTGCCCGTCCCCAGGATCTCACCCGTCCGCAGATCACACCCCGTGCTCGCCAGATGCGCACACATCTGCCGCGCACTCCAGAACATCTCCTGCGCCTGCGACCTACACAGAACTGTCTCTGCACCACCACTCTCTGACTTGAGTCCCACTGTCATGTCGATCGCGTAGTTGAACTCTCCGGGGTCTTGCAGGTGTGGTGGGAGCGGGACTCGGGGCTCCGGGCCTGGGACTTTGAAGGGCGCGAGGGCTTCCGTCGTTATGATCCAGGGGGAGATGGTTGTTCCGAAGGCTTTGCCGTTGAGGGGGCCGAGGGGGACCATTTCGCAGCCTTGGATGTCGCGGGCTGCCAGAGACGGGGTCATGGTAGTTAGTTTAGGTAGTTATTATACCTTAGTTACTTCCCTAGCTTATACCCCTCGCCGAGACGAGACGAGACGAAAAGAAAAAGAAAGAGAGAAAAACATACCACTCCAATCATTCAACACCACCAATCCAAAAATATGCTCCTCGGCATTCTGTGCATCTACCCCTGCTCCTGCGGGCACTGGCGTCCCGATCACCACGCCGATTTCGAGCTCGTAGTCCATTGCGCGCGAGGGTCCGTAGATGACGTGTTTTTCTGGGGTGGAGCGGTCGTAGAAATGGCCGAGGGGCCGTGTGATAGGCGTGCCGGAGACGACGATCGTGCTGGCTCGTCCGGTGTAGCCGATGGGGAAGTGAAAGAAGCCCGGGGGAGGGGTGGGGTCGTTGAGGATGGCTCGGCCGGCGTTTTGGACGTGGGCGAGGCTGCAGGAGAAGTCTTGTTTGAGAAGGAAGGGGGGTTAGTGTTTTGGGGTTGTTTATTTGTTGATTTATGGGGTTGGTAGGGTGGTTGATGAGGGTGAAGATGGAGTGTGTATGTATGTATGTATGTATGTGTGGATGTATGTATACGTACCGGTGAATCCAGGAATGGTTACCGGCAGGTGCATCTGCACTTGGTCGATGGACTCGGTGCTGTTCCTGGGGAGGACTGAGATGCCGAGCTGGAGGATGGCTTGGAGGGTTTGGCGGACTGTCTGGTGGAGGGTCTTTGGGAGAGCTGCGTAGTTGTTTAGGGTTGGTTCGATGAAGATATTGGCAGGTAGATCTGCGATCTCCGAGAAGAGGTTGGCCTGTTGGAGGTCGTGAAGGAAGATCACGGTGTCGTGCAGGCGAGTTGCACTCTGGGGACTTGGGTGCGATGGGGAGGAGGCAATGCCGAAGGGGAGATTCTGCAGGGAGAAGTGATGGTTGTATTTTGGGGAAGTCATTTTGAGGGAATTGGATGTTGATGTTTGGTTGGTATAGATGTTGCAGTGGCGGAATTGTAGCACGTCAAGGACAGCCAACACAAGTAAATCCCCTCTTTCTGATCCCGACTTCGATACTTGTACTTCTTCTCTATCGCATAATCCCCACCACATAATCCCCACCGCAAATGACGACGGGGAAGAAGCGATCCTCCACTTGGAGCCGAGTGGAGCGACGATATTGGCCCACATCCCGATGAACTACTAGTTAGTTCCACAGCAGTGGGCTTACGGATCAACTCAACTTCTTAAACACTCGGTATATACAAGGCAGATCGCTAAATAGTATTGTTATATACATTAGGTAGTTCAATCAATCCAAGTTTCTTCTCACATGATATCTGTAGCAACCCAAGTAGACGTTTCTTAAGACTCTACGACCAATAGGCCGCCCATTTACTCTTCCCTTTAACCACGCGGATAAACTCCTCTGCAATTACTTCATCACTTCGCTGAGAAGGATGAAGTGTGTCATACCACAAATACGACTCCTCATTATCTAACCTCACGCAGTTCTGTCCGTCCAGATCACAGTGGTTGATATACCCAGTGACGTTTGCCGGCGTAGACCCATGGAAATACTCCGACGGGTGATAGTACATATCAGACAGCTAGGGTTCATCAGTCAGTCTCTCGAAATCAATAGAATCGGGATAAGATATGGTAAAAAAAAGGAGGCTACACACCAGGCCATTCATATCCATGACAGCAAAGTGAGCACCGGGATACCGCTTTTCCACGACCACCTCCAACGGGGTTTTATAATCAAACACCTGATTGACGGTAGCCACCTGCTCCCACATGCGATAGCTGTAGAGCGTGTCATTGCTCGGCTTATCCGGCCAATACTGCGACTTTCCAACTCCTGCGTTCTCGGGCGTTGCGTACATTGGAGCTAAATGAAGCGGGGCGTTGTTCATGATCACAAAATGCCTGCCTCCATTTCTGTAGAGCTGGTCCAGCGCCTTATAGATGCAGTTGACGTAATCTGGTATGGTCTTCTCCGCGACTTGGGAGTCGGTCAGGAATGCATAATTTCCTAAATCATTTGTACCAATCCACATGGCGTACACGGTGTCCTGCGGGTGGATGTTGAGGAATTTCTTGCCCGAGGGAGTCTTGAATTTGCTGTCTGCGAGAAAGGCAGGGATTTCGTACTCTAATACTGACGGAAAGGGGGCGTTGATCGCGGAGAACGCTCGGGGAGTTATTTCGTTAGAACAGACGGCTCCGCTGACGGCGTAGTTGTAGCGATTCACTTTTGCAGACTGGGCGACGAAGTGGCCCCAGGTGTAGCCTCCGGACGCGGAATTGTTGTTCTAGATGTTGTTAGTAGTTTGATCCGTCGCTAGAGAAGGGTATAAAAACGCACTTCTGGTTGAACCCACCCAACAGGCGGGGCCGCTCCACCATTGCTGGCAAAGTAGCCCAATCTCGAGTCATCCGTATAACTATCTCCAAAGGTAACGAGGGTTTTGAAATCCCGGAGTGCCCAGCCTTGGCTCGGACGTGCAAGTGCTACGTTGGAACCTAAGGCCAACAGGCCTAGAAGCTGCAATTGAAGCATGGTGAGGGTGTTCGGAGCCTACAGGACACAAAGCCTGGGGGTTCGATCTACACAAGAATAAGGGGAAATAACACTTGACTGGGCTACAAAATACTCCGCACGATGCGGACCGTGTAATCCATTTATATTTAAATTCAATTGGGTTTATGGACGATTAATTGGCCCCGTTAGTCCGGAGTAACGGCGAAGACTACCTAAATTATCATGTCCGCGGACATGCGGGCTGGATAAATGGCTAAATCCTACGAAAAGAAGGCAACAGCATCATCATGCGAAAGCGGGGAAAGGAATATGTAATATACACTAATATCCGACCCCGTCACAGCTAGATGAGGTACCAGTAACAAGGGTCATAGAAGCCGACGTCGACTTTGCGAGTTGCTTTAACCGTTTTTGAAAAGGCGTCTCCGTCTGGGAGGATTCCTTTTTTTATAGACACACACAGCAAATCATATAAGATACTACCAAAGCTTATTATGAATAAGTTATTATATCATTGTCATTTGTTCTAGGGCGACGTCCACTCTAGCCCTAATATATATATATATATATAAAAGAAGAGATAGGGCAATGACTACCACTTTGGTCCGTGAGTACTTTTCTGTCACAAACACGATACGCTATATTGATATATTCTTTTAAGATACCCAACCCAACCAAGGAAAGGAAATATTGCTGGTTTCTCTTGTACATGTCATGTTATGTATACTCTAGATTGCTTTTACTTTCTATAAAATAACTACTACTGCTGCTAGAACTTGCCCGAGAAGACAAACAGGCCAGTGATATTCTTGGCAACATCGAAGCTCCCCTTCACATCAGTCGGAGTTCAACCAGACATTATTTATTGCAACGACTGTGACATCTAAGAACACCACCTTTTTCCCAACCTATCTATCCATAACGCCAAGAAAAAAAGGTCCGAGCCCTATCCCGAAAGAGATGCGGGGAAAGCAAAACCAAAAAACCGACACACACGGGGGTCGAACCCGCAACCTTTGCTTGCCTTCGTTCGGTAGAGAATACCTAATAATAGGAGAGCAATGCGCTACCATTGCGCCAGCGTGCCAAGCCAGATTAAACCAATTCCCTATTAAGACAATATAAAGCAAAAAAACCAATTATCGGTTTTGAGGGAAGGATGGATCGCGGTTTCTACTTAGTTATACAATAACAAGTGGCAAAACACAAGACAGAATAATTATGAGATACGAGTGAATTTCGTTTTGAATTAGATGAAAAGTCTTTCTCAAATGCTTCATGTACTGTGTTTTTTTGTGAATAAAGATGGTTGGGACATGGAGGGGAGGATGTCATAACAAAATCATTCGAAACACGTAGATCAGTCAATGTATATAATACCATAGCAATAAGAACATATCAATATACCAGGTGCTCCTGAGTACCATGCAAATCTCATCGGAACATAAAGTCTTTTCGGAATCTAGTTCAACTACGCCGCTTCCACGCATGTATTTGGTTACGTATTTCGGCCAAGTTCCCGCCCACCAAATTACCCAGATGTTCCCTGCCTTTATACACATCAATTTTCTTCGCCTTGGTTTCTGACCGCAGGGTATCCAATTCGGAGCGCAACTGATCAAGGTCCTTCAGCGTTGCATCCCGTTTGACTCCCGTGCCCAGCTCAAGGCGGATTACATCCAACGAAGCGTGGATGGCACCCATTTCAGCGCGCAGAATCTTGAGTCTAAGAGGGATCGAACCATTTGTATCGGAATTAATCTTGGATATGATGGGTTCCAGCCGATTACGAACTCTGCAAATATCACGGCGGAGGGTCTCCAGCCTAGGGTTTGCACATCGAAGACACATATCATGGATCGCGTCATCAGCTTGAGCAATGTCAGTTTTGATGTCTTCAATATCTTCCATATATCTCCTGCAAACCAAAGCCCACAGATGCTCGGGGTACTGGTCATGCACATCTTTCCAGTCCTGAAACCGGTTCCTTTGGGCTGTTAGCCTCACATTCGCGTGGGTTTGCTCGTATATGGCGCTGATGTCTTCTTCCACAAAATCTACCATGGGGCTGCGGTACATCGAATCCCAACGGTATGTTTTAAAAAGCCACGGGTCTGCGCCCTGGCGCTCCATTTCCCTTTGAAGGAATTTGCCCACGTTCGGACACTCACAGGCACGTGCGATATCAATCGGGAATTGGAAAGTGTTGTCCTTGCGTAGCAGATCCACGTCGGGCCACTTCCGAATGATGGTCTCGATAATATCCACGCAGTCGATGGATGCGGCCCAGTGGACCAAGTTACGACCCTGGTGGTCTCGCTGGGAGGGGTCCAAATCCCTGAAATTGAGTAGGAGCGCAAGAGTGTCTTTGAACCCGGCGTCGGCGGCCGCATGGGCAGCAGTACGGCCGTTGCGATCTTGAAGCCGTAAGCTTGCACCCCGTTCGAGAAAGAATTTCACGCATCGCGTATGGCCCAATGTGGCCGCTTGGTGTGTTGCAGAGCTGCCAGAGTGATCAATGTTGTCGAGGATGCTTCTGCCGGAGGGAGAGTCGAGTATCTGTTCAATGATACTTGGCCAGTCGTTGATTGCGGCATGATGTAGCACCGTTCGTCCCGCCATATCTAGGTGACAATCAAGGTCGCGAAACGAGGACTTCTCCAGCATTAGTCGGGTCAAGTCCTGGTCCTCCTGCATGGCAGCGCAGATAATACCGCTCATCTCATTTTCCTTGGGGGTGGGAAGTGCTCTCGAGTACGATATGAGAGCCAAGGCTGCCTCTCGAAGCCCCCAGTAAGATGCCACTGTCAGGGCTGTGCGGCCCTGATTATCTTGAATGTTTAGACGCACACCGTCGACGTTCAGAAGCAGCTTCAGCTTGTCTAGCTCACAGTACGTCGTAGCTAAGTGGAGCGCGGTATCGCCACGAGAGTCTTGAGCATTGATATCAAACCCACTGCGTTGCAAAAATTCGGCTAAGCGTTCGACATCGCCAAATCGCACCATATAATGCAATGCTGTCTGGCCCCGGTGGTTTTGAAGAGTGAGACTGATGTCTGGATGGTTTATCATCTTGTCGTACACTCGCCAGAGACCCATTTCAATCACAAGATGGAAGGTTGTCTCAAACCCCCAGTGGCTGTTTTGGCCGGTGTTAGGGTCTGCACCTACTTCCAATAGTGCTAAAACCAGTTCTTCTATCTTCGACTTTTCGATATTGAAGAAGCAATATTCGAGCGGGGTACACTGGCTGTCTGGCCGCCACGGCTCGTTCACGTCATAGCCAAAGGAAGCAAAACGTTCTATAGATGCTGCAGACTTGAAGTGCTTTATAACAGCGACAAGTGGGCTGGGATATGTCTTACTGTCCCAATTTGCCGCAAAAATTGAGTCTCTGCAACCCAACTCGGCATAGCGACGCCATAGTGGGTGGCTTATCACAGCATACCTAAGATGGTATATGTGGAAATCGTACGCATACTCGAAGAATGGATATTTTGTGTGGATCCCTAATAATCGGTTAGAATATAAATCGCATTGTTCCTAGACTCATATAGTTCCATACGTACCTCGAATATATTCCGAAATCTGTATATCTTCAACCAGATCACGAAGACCTAGATAAGTGATGCAAGCCTCGGCCAGGGAAAGCCTCGCTTTGTGTAACCACCCGGGATCCTTTTCAGACCAATACTGGAATAGGTATTCCTTGAATGAGAGATGGGTGAATGAAAGATTGCCATCTTCTTGCACTCGGACCAGTTCAGGGAAATGTGCCTCAATAATCTCACTTAGCCCCTCGAAAGGATATATATGGGCAGAAGAAATGAAAGGATCTTTCGACCGCTGAATGGACAAGATAATTCCTAGTTCAGCCTCTGTTAAAGAACGCTCTGCTGTAGCGATCGCCCCAAATATTGCCCACATATCTGGACGGATTTCGGGATTAACCTTGCCCATCATCCGGTCGTATAAAGTATTAATACCAGGCGCTGCAGAGTCGAGTTGACGGATTTTCTCTTTTACAGTGTGACGGTTCCACAATAAACCTTTCTTGAAATCGTCCCATGCAATACTTGCGTAAAGAAACATACCGTCTGCCCTTTCAACTATCTTGTCCCTGATTTCATTGCGTAGTCTGTAGTCTGTAGCGATGGCAAACGATTCGTTTCTTAGTGCAAAGTCCGAGACGTTATCTCGAAGATACTTGGAGATATCTGGCGATACATCTGCGGACCGCATTCTAATCATGTAGACAGATTTGATGGACTTCTCAAGATCAGGCATAGGGCGACTGGAAACAAAAACGCGTAACCGGTGGTGGTGATGAATCACGGCACAACGCAGGACTAGGCGATATAATCTGTAAATCATATTATTTCTCACTTCAGATGGTAACTCTTCAAGCGCATCTATGCAAATAAAAGAGTGTCGCATGGCATTGAGGGCTAGAGTGTCCTCAATTGATGCCCATAACAAATCGGCTCTTTCCAGTCGAGGTGGCGGTATCTTCTGTGTTTTGTCGTCTGCGAGATGATGTCGAATGGAACCCTGACATGGTGGGTATACCTGTAATAGTTGATGCAAGAGGGATCTCAATATGTCTTCCTCCGTATGAGTTGCAGCATCTTTGTAAGAACAAAAGAAACTGGCTCCTAGGTAATCGTCTGGGAACACCCGGTGGTTGTTACCACCTAATACCTCTTCAACAAGGTGTCGTGTGAGGACGCTTTTGCCGACTCCAGGAGGGCCTACAAGCCATAGGAATGACGGCTCTTTCGCGACTGCCCAGGAGTTAAACACGCTGTTCTCAAATATCCAATTCGTAGTGCCATCATGAGGTGGGCGTGGAAGGAGTTGAGACTGTTTGTAGTCAACGCTGAATATTGTGTCCATCAGCTGTTTGAGTTGCCATGCGTTTCCATCCATGGCCTCTAATAACAATGAGCAAAAAAACAGGCTTGAATGATCATGCTACAAAGTTCCGTTTTCTTACCCTCTGCGAGCTCCGAAACTGCCTTCCACACCGGCATAAACAGATGCTTGTTTCGTGGCGAGACCTTGGCCATTTTCCGATGGTCTGTATTCATTGGGATAGCTCGCTCATTGGGCAGACCCAATATAGCGGAAACAGACTCAACGATCTGTATATCGTTTGTTAACTGTCTTCATTACAACCAATCACACGCGTTCATACCAGAGTCGGCCCAAGAGGTTTCTGCTCATAGAAGGACACAATACTGATATCCTTGAGAATCGGAACCGACAGTTGCGATATATTTTGCAAAACCTTTGAGCTCATGGATAAGACTCCCAGCAAATCAGACCGGACAGTCTTCGACAATGATGTGATATTGATGATGCGAGCCAAGTGCCGTGCCTGGCTCGCTACCCTAGATCCGCGATGCGGAGTTCCCATAAAGATAATCCCGAAGGTGTTCTTCATGATAGCTCCATAGTGATCCTGCACGGATGATGCAGTGACAAGGCTTTGCTTGAGCACGACTCCGCCAAGACTGTGACATATAAACAAAATGGGCCTCGACTGCTCCGAGGGGACCTGTCTCTCCCATAATAGCCTTGTTAGGAGGTCAAGAGCGAAGTCTTCGACGTTCATTTCTGATCGGCCAAATGCAACGGCCGAATCATACCCGAACGTCATGATCCTGGCTTGAGGAATGTGGTTTGGCAGAGAATCACGCAGCCACAGGTGTCCGTCGCTGTCGGTCCATGTTTTAAACGCATTGCCTCCTAATCCGTGGATGGCAATGATACTGGACTTTCTGGATTAGCTAGTGGCTTACTGACCTGGAAGATCATAGTGGGCTGACGCACTCGACCGAGCATTTTTCCGGCTTATAAGATGTGGGGTGCAGGCGAAACAAGCCATGATCCCCAACAGGAGGGTCTTCCATTATGGGATTCAGTATACTCAATGTTATTGAGGTTGTGGGATAATATATATAATTTTATATTGTCAAGACATCTATCAGGTATTCGACTGCCAATGATGAAGTGATCTTGGAGTTCGGGAGGGGAAAGCAGGCGAGGCTGACTAGAGTGACAGCCTTGTTCGTAATTAGCGTG